GTGGGGATGGGGAGGGAAGAGCCTTCTCCCCTGGGGGCCTGCCATGGCAATGGAGCCGCTCTCAGCGATGAGTGTGGGAGGAAGGAGATGCAGCCCGGTGCAGTTGCCCGGGAAACCTCTGTGATGCTGCCGGGAGTGATGTCAGTACCTGTCTGCGCTTCCAGCTGCCACACGCAGCTCGTCAGGTTTTTCTGGATGGGGCTTTTCCCCCCCCCCCACCTGGAAATTTTGGATAAGCACAGAGATTTTAGTGCATTTATGAGGTTTCCTGAAGGCTCGTAGCCCTCAGGACAGCAGGGCCAGATGTTCCCTGTAAGCAGCCCCAGCACAAATCATAGAATCACAGAACGGTTTGAGTTGGAAGGGACCTCAAAGATCATCTAGTTCCAACCCCCCTGCCATGGGCAGGGACACATTCCACTACACCAGGTTGCCCAAAGCCTCATCCAACCTGGCCTTGAACACCTCCAGGGATGGGGCATCCACAACTTCTCTGGGCAACCTGTTCCACTGCCTCACCACTCTCAGAGTGAAAAATTTCTTTCTTATATGTAACCTAAATCTCCCCTCTTTCAGTTTAAAGCCATTGCCCCGTGTCCTGTCACTACACACCCTTGTAAAAAGTCCCTCTCCAGCTTTCCTGTAGGCCCCCTTTAGGTATTGGAAAGCTGCTATAAGATCACCGAAATACGTGTTCACGACATGGTTCACATCCAACACGCACAATGCAGGAGAGCCTGGCCATGTGTGTCCCCATCACTGGTGCTGCACACGCATGGCCAGACCAGTCCTGTCTGCACGCACCGGGCCACATCCGTGTGCTTCTGTTAAGGAAACCTCAAGGCAGAGGGTTCAGGGATGCACCACATCGTGGTGGACGGCTTGACCCTCCTCCCCCTGCTCCCCGTCGCCCTCCCGGTCTGGCTATTTGAGGCTGCGATCCTTCGCTGCCCTGCTTCACGCAGAATAAAGGTTGTTCCCATTCCCAAAATCATATGGTCATGTTGTCTTTGCACATGGTGGGTTTCACCCCACGCCAGCTGAAGGCCCAGGACACCAGTCTCCTGTTTACTGAACAGCCACCATGGCCAGTCTGTCCTCAAGTCAAAGACCACCACATCATTTCCACCAACTACACCACCAGCAGCAGCCCCCTTCACTGCCAAAGTCCCTCTGCGTCCTTGAAGAGTTCAGCCACGTGGCCACCAGAATCAATTTAAATTTTAATCAATTTTATTATCGCTTACCGAAATGCAGCACTATATTAACGGCACGGAACAACAGTCCCAGGCTGTTCCAGGTCCCACTGGCCTCCTCAGCTCCTGAGGAGGCTCAGGCCAAAGATCTTCCCAGAATTTGCAGAAACTCCCTTCAACGCTCACTGTTTTAAATAGCCACAGCCAGCAGCTCCTCCTTCCAAACCTGGGGGCAACAGACTTACCAAAGAGCTACCAAATCATCAGAGTGAAGTATCTGTCCTCAGCGCAGACGGCTGGGTAAAAAAGTAGAGATTCACTTTTGTCAAGGTTATCACTAGAATTTATTGATATGAGAGAAACTTCGTATGTCAACATGTCAACGGAGGAACAGCACGTCCTGACGTAACAGAAGTACAAAGCCCATCCAGGAGACGTTACAGCGCTCTGGTACCTCTAAACTCTGAAGTACCGATCACGCACACGGCTGTGTATTACTTGGGTACCTTTTCTGGGACAGGATGGAAATACTCCAGAAATTCAATCGATGCATGGTTTGCCAGCCACTAGTGCCTGACGGGATACGTGACCCACCAGGCTGCAGCAGGGACCACGCTGGCTTTGACTCCTGTCCCCCAGCTCCAGACACAGTGCCCACATGTAACGGCAGCTCTCCCTGGGTCCCTCTAGTCAAAAGGCAAAAAAAAAAAAAGGGGTGAGATTCACTTGAGCCCGTGTAGCCCTCAGCAGGGAGATGAGATGACTTGGACCCTCCAGCTCCTCATCACGTAAAGCGGGGTCCAGCTCGGATGGAGACAGCTGCCCGCAGGCAGGGGAACCCCATGCCAGGTCTGCAGCAGGACAACCTGGGCACGGTCCTACCAAGTGAGCTGCAACTGGGAAACTTCACAACAGAGTTTGCTCCGCTCGGGGAGCGGACACGGCCATGCCACGCTCCATCCTGGCATCTGCCCATGCAGAAGCAGATTTTTTTCTTTCAACATAAATTATCCTCGTCATATTGTAACTGTTTTGACATTCCCTCTCTCAGCAGTGCCCTCGTAGCACAGAGCCTTTCATACTCTGCTTGTGGCTAAGATAAAAATTATCTTTATAACCTTTACTGGAAATATAAGCAATGCTGGATGCTGTTTAAAAAAAAGCCAAGTGCTGAGCTTTCATCTTCTCCCAGCTCGTGAAATATTTAGTTTGGTCCTAAGTATCTTGCTAAACGATTAGAGAGGGAATAGCAGAGTATTCCCCAGGCACCTGGTAAATCCACAATGGATTTATTGTAGAAATAAGATGAATTCTCCAACTCACTCCAAAAGGATTTCAGAGCCCTCTAAAACCCTCCAGAGAATGAGCCGTTTGTGACACAACAAACAAAAAACAATCCCAAGTTCAATGAGTAAATTGTCTTACGTCGTGCAGGGAGCATCCAAAATAAGAGGCAAACCCAGACTAAGGGGCGAGGCTGGTCCCATCTCCCGATGCCAGCTTTGATCAGGGCAATACAGGAGCCTGGGCTGAAGTGCATCTGGTCTGGCTGACAGCACCAACCCTGCTGCAGACCTGCAGAGGAACTGCTGGTGCCAGAAAGACGTATCTGAGCACCAGGGGGATGACCCATACTCTGCTCCTCCTCCTCCTCCCACGTGAGCTACGACAAGTGGCACAGCGGGTTCCGCGCGCAGCCGTCCGGTTTCACCAAACCTAAGTTCCCTCTGCACACGAAACAGCATTGACGTAGAGATCTCATATTAATGGGTACTTATACAGGATTAATTGCACATCAGTCCATTGTGGCTACAAGTTCATTAGGCTAATAAATCTACATAGTGACAGTAGTACAGTATCAGCTACTTTTCAATACAAACTCCCTACCCTAGCCTTAATTTGTAGGTCAAAAGAAGATTTTCTACCGTAGCGACCTTCCTATGACCTTTAACATTCATTTTCAAAATTTTTTTTCTAGAAAAAAAAAAATCCAGTGTGGGGAAAACGCACATATATAACAAAAGCAGTGCTTAACAACCACAGGAAAAAAAGAACATGATCTTGGACTCTTGCATCAGCATCCTCCGTAGACCCTGGTAGCGTTACTTCCAAAGGGTTGCTAAATCCAGCTCCGCCAGTTCTCCATCTGTTAAAGCATTCCCTAGCTCCAGACATTTCTAGTCTCTCACTACACGTCTCCTCTGTAGCAAGAGCAGACAAACACTTGCTCATGTGCACAAGACTTCCATTGGATTTAATGGAATAGTTTCAGAAGACTGAAGTCTTTACTTCCAGAAATCTGTTCTTGAGCAGTAGCGCTCTCACCGACTGGGAGCTTCCTATTCCACCCAGGAGAGAGCTCCGAGTCCCTCGTAAGGTTGTACTTAGTCGTTTAGCCCAAAGGTGTACGGGTATGTAATAAAACCCCTCTCACAGTATTCCCAGGAAGTGATTCCGAAGAGGAGATGATTTTTCAACCAAATGAGATCCTCTGGTCCTGTGTGTCAGACCATGGCCAATAGAATGAGCAGCTGCCATGGACATCTCAACTTAAATATGGAACAGTCAAGGGAGGAGAGCAAGGTAGCCTGACCATCTTCCCGTGAGGTACAGGCAAAGAGACACCAAAGTCACTCTGTTCTCAACAGTCTGTCTCTTTCTCTGGAGTCAAATGTTTGATTCCATTTGTTCTAGCAGGAAGTGGTGAATCATGTCAAAAGTGGGACGATCTTTTATATCCCTGCTCCAACATTTCAGCATCAGGTCAAACACAGGGTTAGGACACAGAGGAGTCTGGGAGAGATAGATCTGAAAGGAAGAAAAATAGAGCTATTTCAGTGGGCTTTGCATACCAGAATTGAACCTCCTCTAAATGAAAACCAAACGGACAGTTTCATTCCAGGTTTACAAGACACAGCCATCATGCAATGTTTGAAATCCATCAAGCGTGAATCTGGCAGTGAAGTCTGGATGGAGCTTTGACGCCATCTCAAGTGGCGCTGCGGACACTCTGCCAAGTTGTTTGATGAGCTGGTCACAAAACAGTCCTTTGTCCCCCAGGAAACACGGATGCTTCAGAGATCTGTCCTCCAAGTGACAGCAAAACACAAACCAAAACCAAATTTACCACAACAAAATCCAAATACTTTCACTCACCGTAGACAACCCATGAGGCTTTCTAAGCATCGTGACAGCTTGTTAGCAGGGACAGAAAAAACACCTTTTAGAGCTTATCTAAAGCACAGCTCAGCAGAATTTTTTCTTCCCCCCTCTCATTTCAAAACACATCTTTTAGGCTCTTAACAAAATCATTAGTATTCAGGAGATAGTGAGTAAAACCTTCCATTATTTTATTCCCCTTAATCCTTTAACTTGTTTGATGCTAAAGGTGAATTTTGGGACAATGGCAAACAACTGACTCTCCACTTGTTGGGGTACAGAGATCCTCAGTACTGAGGTGCTGGATTGTCCTGCATCACCACTGGTATCTGCTGAAGGAAGCAGCAGTGGGGAGCACAGTCCTGCCTGGGAGTTAGTAAGAGGACAGTGACACAGAAAAGCAACTAGACATGACCAAAGGCTTCTCTGGCCTACGTGGAGATACTACAGGGAGTATCTAACCCCTGGGTACTAACAACTCCTTCCTCCCCACATCTTAGTAAGTGCTTGTCTTTCAGAGAAAACACTAGTTCTAGCAAGATCTGACAATGGGAAAGAGCAAAAGGACTTTGTAGGAGAGCCCAGAGAAGCTGAGGAGGACAGTGCATCCCAGGCAGATTGGAAAAGAAGTGGTTTATAAGGAAGAAGCATTTGATGGGGCCATGAGGTTCTTTTAGTGGGATCCAAGAGAGGAAAGCCAGCACAATGAGTCTGGAGGAGGGGAAAGAGAGGCAGGACACGCTTGAAAAGATGAGTAACAGCAGCAGAGACTTCTGGAGATGACTTAAGACCAGCAGAGAGTCCCTGTGGAGATCAACTTGGATGCGACCAAGTCAGGTGAAGGAAGGAGAGGTCACATTTGCTTTCTTACCTGCCTGCCCTGGCTCCGGAAGAATTCTCCTGTGTTCTCAATGACTTGCTCATCGGAGAGGAGGCTGTACGGTTGCTCCTTACACAGTACGAACATCTCCCAGAGGGTGACCCCAAATGCCCAGACATCACTGGCTGTGGTGAACTTGCCCTGTAAACAGAAAGCACATGGTAAGCCCAGGTTGCTCACAGCACACATTCAGCAAAAACCATTTCGGTCTACACCATCCACAGCCGAACACGAGGATGAAGAATTCGTACCTGGGAAAAGAAGGAGCATCTTTCACTGGGACAAACCTCCTGAAACAGGGAGCAAGTCTCAGAGAAAACCAGAGACCACTGTCCCTCCTGAGAAAACCTGTATTTGTCTGCAGCAGTAGGAAAATGGACCATGGCAGGGGAGTGGGCAGCTGCTGCCTACCTCCACCAAAAACAGTGCAGCACCAAAACGCCTTTGAACAAGAAGCAAAGCCCTCAGGGTGAAAGCATGGCCGAAGCAGACTCCAGACTCTTAGAGAAAGGCCAAAATAATTTTGATCTTTGCACATGTAAGAAGTTGGTGACAGCCTGCTCGCTCTCCCTGTTTTCTGTCTTTGAAAAATGTGCCCAAACCAGCTGTGTTTGGAACAATGTGTTTCTGAAGAAGTAAAAAGCAGCTAAAGATTGCTCAGAAAATAACAGAAAACAACTGGGGCTGGAGGGCCTGTTTGGGCAGAAGACATCCAAGAACCAGAATGCCCAGGCTTATCTGGCAACCCTAGCAGCCTGTCAGTGTCTGGAAGACATTCACACAAGGAAGATGGGAGTGAGTTATGGTTTAGATGCAGCTGTAACCAGGAAAATAGGGCGAATTTAGAAAAGCGTAGGCCCATCAGCCTTTATAGCAGAGGTAATTACAATTTTTCCTGGGTACTTGGAGGGGGTGTTTTAAGAAAGTACAACAGGTGACCTCACTAACTAGTTTGAGAAAGAAATATTGGGCTGAATATTAAGCAACTGCCTCCAGCTGGGTGTGTTTGGGCTGTTGAACAATCTCCTAAGGGGAGACAGCAAGACCCTTAACACAAAACAAAACCCCAACCTCAAAACCAGACTTGGCACTTGAAACTCATGAAGGTCTGTCCCTGTCACTCTCGGCTTCACAGCTGGGGAAATAAGCACAGAAAGGCTGCGAAAAGAAGCCCAGAAAAGAAATTACACCCCAAATGATCTGTGCTGTATGTGCAAGGACATGCTCCTTTTCCAGGATCTGAGTTATGTCCAACACGACCTCATGGACATCTCACCTGGGGCCATCTGTAACATACGTTTTGATGCTGTAAGGACTGTTACACATATCTGTGTTACTATTTCAAGGGCACAGTGAAAAAAAAAAAAAAAAATCAGAGGAAGGGAGAGAGAATGGTTCTGTGCAGTCCCTACCAGGAGGATGCTTTCCCAGGCCATCCAGCGTATGGGCAGGACGGCTCTTCCCTGGATCCGGTAGTAATCCCCGCTGTAAAGATTCCTGCTCATGCCGAAGTCCGCAATCTTGATGGTGTAGTTGTTGCCCACCAGGCAGTTGCGAGTTGCCAGATCTCTGTGCACAAAATTCAGAGATGCTAAATATTTCATTCCAGAGGCAATCTGGGTGGCCATGTACAGCAGGTTAGAGTAGCTGCATTAAAAGAAAACAAAAGGAAGAAAAATCAATGGAGTTCCCCCCACTCACCTCTCCCTTGCATTTCATGTATCACCACTGTCATTTTATTTTCTGCCATAACAGTGAAACTAAACTGTCCAGTTTCAGGGCATGAACACCCCCACTTGCCAGGCTAAGCCAAGTTCCTGAGCTGACTAAGCAAAACCAGACAAGCTGTCCCTGAAATTCAGGGCCCTTAGAATTAGACATCACTTAGATTTTATTTTTTTTTTTATTATCAAGCATTAATCTCATGATTTTCCATGAGTTTATGCATCAAAGCACTGACTTTTTGTGGAGAGCCATGCAAAATTAAGCTGTACAATCTCAGAATCTCATATCTAAAAAACTGCTTAGCTTGGTATTTCAAACACTGCCACTACTGCATGCTTACATTAATGCAAGTATCTGCCTCAACATTAAAGAGAAGTTACTTGATTTTAATGTGTTTTATATTACTGACAACATAAACAGATACATTTTCCATCCAACACAATTTGAATTTCCCCATTAGGAAAACAAAGATAATATTAATGAGTTGCAAGACACACAAAGTTTGGACCGTCTGACTGAGCATTCTTCACACACTGTTATTCTGTGATGCTCGGCTTGTTTCCCACCGTGCATGCTCAAATGCTTCACATAATCAAGCACTTGTCACAACAAATCGAATAAACTGCTCACAGTCAGTATTTCTCTGATAAAGCTCAGAAAAAGAAAGTCTCAGTCTCCTCCTCTTTGTGTTCTGGTGGCAGTGAGAAAAGCTCTACCATGTTATCTGAGCTACAACATAATGCATCTACGGTAACAGATCCAGTCTATGTTCTAATCCATAGCTAAGCCATCGCTTCGGAGGCAGCCCCTCGCCGCGGCAGAGCGCTGGGCACCACCTCCCTCCCAGCCTTTCAGCACAGTGACCACCTCAGCTTAGCTGGGGGACACTTGGCCCAGTCCCATAGTCACCTCAATGCCTCTCCTGGTCTGAATGGACCTGTTGGGCACCCAGAGAAAGAACTGGGCTGCCCACTTGTACCTTGTTAACCCCTTTGTTGGCTTTTCACATAGGAGCAGGCAGAGCCTCCAGACCCAACCTTCTCCCTTCCCCCTGCTCAGCTGCAGTTGTGCCCCTGCCTGGAGCTGTTGCTCTTCAGACTCAAGAAGCCCCATCCCTGCGTCCCACCTGCACCCTGGCAGGGTCCCATGGGCAGCTGCCCGTCTGCCCCACGAGCTCCGCAGGGCTCCATGTGTGCAGCTCTGCAGATGGAGGGGCAGGACAGGAGACACCTTTCAGCAGGCTTGTCTTCATGATTTGCCAGATAGCCAGAGACAGTAGGGAGATGTATTTCAAATACCAAAGAGCCATAAGGACTTAAAAACGTGTGACCTCTCTGCAGGAAAGGGTTGGTCACCATACTCAGTGCGACAAGAACTGAGCTCAAGAGATGAGTGGGACGGCTGGACCTTGCCATGCCGGGGCAGGACAGGATGGCTGGACCTTGCCATGCCAGGGTGGGACCTTGCCATGGCAGGGTGGG